AGCGGCGCCTAGAGCGGGTCAGGCCGGCGCGGGGTGGCGGCAGCCGCTGCCCGGCCTCCGGGGGTTGCGGCCCGCGGTGTGCCCGTCCCAGATGGCGTGGAGATAAGAGCCGGTGCCCCCTGAGGGAGCACAGCCCGGGCGTGGGGTGCGGGAGCTCTTTTGTTTTTGTCAGCGTCACCAAAACTTTTCAAGGTGGGTTTCGAAAGGGAGTAGTGCGCTAGGATGTAGATGCTGATGTGAGATATTAAAGTGCGGGTGGGAACATCTAGAGATGGAGCGAGGTCGAGAGGCTCTCAGAGGAGCTGTGCTGAGGCGATTCCCGCTCCCCTGGCAGCAGGGTTTGGCGTCTTGGGAAGGTTTTGTCCACGTAGCTCCTGGCAGCGACCTCTCACTGCTTTTGCAAATGAAACAAAGGATTTCCAATCCGTGAAAAGTAAGGTGTGAATTTCCAAGGTTAAAGATTACAGGTTTTTCTGACTCTTTAGATGCCACTTTTGCCATTTCATAATACTGTGCCTTTCAAATTAAGGTTAGATTCATGTCGCCGTAGCTGACAGGACCAGTTGCAGATGCTAAATGAACAGAGGCCATGCTACCTGTGGTCATTTGGTACCCCGAGGAGTGATTTCCATTAACAGAAAAAGCTCCTCCTTGGTTTGTCAGACACAGGCCGTGTCTCAGCTCTGCCCTGACACTGTGACATCCCCTCTGGTTCGTAGGTGGGTGCCGCAGGACTGCGTGGCTGGGATGGAACTGGGCACTCACCAGCAAAGCAGGGAAATGAGCGTGGGAAAGAAGGGTGCCACATAACTTCCATTATTTGGTGCAGCAAACCCAGTCGTGTGTACCTGATCGGCTAGGATATGCCTTTCCAAATCTTCAGTGAATTGTAATTCACTGCAATTCACAAGATATATTCAGATAGTCTTTATTGTACTTAACATTTTTTCTTCACTTTTCCTATGAAAAGTGTAGTGCCACTTGAATATCCAATTCAATCGCCTCGCCAAAGACGGCAGACTAAAATAATACTGTATCTATGTAGTTTTGGATGCTTAATTCCATTTTAGAAACCCACATCGGCCTTTTCCAGTTACACAAATTTTTCTGAAACAAAAATACTTGACATTTTCTGGTTTGTATTGCAGTTCAGAGGTGATTTTTGATTTTTTTTTTTTTTCCTAGAAAGTGTGGGGAAGAAACTGAAGCAATCCTTTCTGAGCTATGTGTTTCCAAGGAAAAACTATCCCTCCCTCTCCAACATACGTCTGGTCAGAAAATCATGCTGAAGTTCAAAGCTATATATTGATTTATTATCAGAAAAAAAGCCAAATAGGAACAAACTGAAGTAGTAGTTTTAAAAGTTGGCACTTCTTGAAGCTAAGTTGAAAGATTTGGACTGGTAATTTTTAAAGTTTATTTTACAAAATGAACTGGCTAAGAATATCTCATTTAAGAATTGCTCATGTAAAGACATACTACATTGTAGAAGCTAGAAAAGCTTAAGCTTTGCAGAGCAAAACTAAGTTCAGCAAGCATAGGAATAGCTGCTGGTAAAGCTGATGGAACGTGAATAAATGCTCAAATCTCAGTAGCTTTGATTTTTTTAGTGATTCTAGGGTCTGAAGTCCTTCTCTTCCCCTTAGGTGGTTTACAAATAAATATGTGAAATGACTTGTAGAGTACAAACCCTCAGGCTTATGCGTGTTTAATTTCTCATACTGTTGATGACTGCATTGAGGTCGAGAGGACTGTTCATGGTGCACACACATGTGCATACATGACATGGTCAGAGGATTATAGATAAATCTGATCCCTTGCATAAAGGTCACCAGTAACTCTTTCAACATTCTTTTTTCCTTTTAAGCCCTAGAATATTTAGTATATGATTCAGCATAATATCAGATCAAGTAGAAAAAGCAAATCCACAGAAGTAAGGAATGTCTATCATCTAGGTATAAACTTGGCAAGGTGGGATGGTAGGTTGGTTTCGTTTTTTTCTGCTTTCATCTGCTTTCTGTTTTCATCGGCTAGATGAAAAAACCTTGACGTGTGGTTATAAAACACCTGCAAAAATAGCACTGGAAGGCTGCGTTTCAGTTAGTTCTCGAGGCTTCGTATCAACTGCACTCACCACAATAAAACACGTTCTAATTGCCATTCCTGTAAGTTCTCCTTGGCATCTCGTAGGCAAGTGGTATTCTTTCTGGCTCATGAATCATCACTGGAAATAAATAGTTTTAGAATAGAAAAAGGGTTGATTGTATATGAGCCAAAATAGAATCCAAAATAGAAGAGCTTATGCTCTTCACTGTATTGTCTCTGCGCTGGGAAGAGGAATGTGTAGTAGTAGATGATGTAGAGGATGCCAAATGAAAACAGAGATATAGTGGGAAACAAAGGCAGCACTTTTACCCAACCATTTTTCTATGATGATTAACCATATTTTGTCATAATTAGCAGAGATTATGTATTATCTGCCACATGTACAAGTTTACCCGTGCACCAGCAAGGAGTACCGGGCCACACGTGGAAAACCAGAGCATGGCATTGCAGGTGTGCTCTGTGCTGGCTGTCACAGCAAGGGTCTGAGAGTCTGGTGCCTCTGTGTCTCCATCCACAGGGAAGTGGTTTTCATCTGAAGTTTCAGGGTTGGCTTTCCTGGCGTGTTTTCTTTGCTTCCAGTTCCAAGAACTAGAGTGGCCGTTGCAGTCCTACTCTTTTGATGGTGGCAGGTTTTGAATTCTCTCCCCACCATCAGTCCCAGCCCCTACAGATTCCTTCTGCATCATTTCTTGTTAGAGAGGCTTGGCAAGGCAGGATGTGATTTAGCACTAAGGAAGTAACAAACGGCACGGAATTGGGAAATAGTATAGAAAATATTTGACATAAATAGAAACATTTATCACATAAACAGTAGCATGTTATGTAAAATAAACACATTAGAACACAATCAGACATTCTACACAAAAAGCCATATGGAGACACATCAGTAAGTGTATTTTTAACCAACAACTTCTCTGCCCTGTCATCATCAGCGTTCCTTTTCTGATCTCAGTGCTTTACAGCTGTCTTGATTTCAGCATGTTTAAAATACATTTACTGCTTTTGTATTGTATGGTGACTTTTGTCTGAATGATTAAATATGTAGAGTTCCATAAATGACTGCGTGTTTACAATGCACTGCAGTAAATGTTCAAGTGGTATAGAAGAACACACCAGGAAGGGTAAATGGAGAGTACACATTTTTTAAACATTGAGAACATCGGATAGGCAATGAACTGTTGAATTAATACAAAACTGGGGTAGAATGCCAAGCCACACTGCAGTAAGAATTGATCTTTTAGCTTTTCTCTATCAGTAATCTGTAGTTTTGAGATTCCTGTTGGGGGGTGTGTGTGTGTGTGTATGCGCTAAAGATGGCAGGGGAAGAGGTTACTCGGCACTTTCTTGTGGAAGCTGCTTGTCTTCTGTGCTTCTAAAGTGAGGCAAGGTTCTCTTGAGTATAATCCTTTTCCTTGTAGGTTACCAGGAAATGTATAAATAAGGCTATTTTGTTCTTACATATAACTATCCTTGAAAGGTTTTTATCCAGACTGTCCTATAATTCCTAACGCTGGTACAGCTCCAGGAATAGGAGCCTGACTACAATTAAGGATTCTGGGGTTATCAGTGCATTTTGGGGAGTTACTTTCATTGCTCTGTATCTGTGGATCACAGGGAGATTAATTTATAGAAGTGAGTCTGATGGAAACTAGAGCATCAGATTTTATCACTGTTTAATCTAATGCAAAGGCTTGAGTATTAAATACAGTGGTTGCTAAGAGGGAAAAGAAGAAATTGCAATATTTTTTTTTTAGTGCTTGTGGTCCAATTAATTATCCTTTTCCTGCTCTTTTTGTATTCTTAGTTTATACTGTATTACACATTGATAAGGGGTTGAGCAGTTCCCTTGCGTGCCTGTTTTCAGTTGTAAAAGTACTGATCCTTTTAATCTCTTCAAACAGTTTTTAGCCCTTTTGTTTAGCAGTTAGCGAGTACTGAGATTTCTGATGTTAAAAGTGTTCTCAGCTGACCCCTGCGTGTACGCATTTATGACTACAAAACGATTAGGTCCTTCTGAAGGAAAAACCGCTGTGATTTATCTCCCATTTTGGAAGCAGATCCTACAGTTCTGAAAAGAGCTACCGCTGCAGTCCTTTGTTCTGCCATGAACCGGTGAAAATGTCTTCCTCCGATCCCTAGGGGTTTGTTGATGTTCTTTGTCTGCAAGGACTAAATTTTAATTCATGACAATGCTCGGAATTAGCTGACGTGCCTATTTGTGGTGCTGCTTTTTCAGATTCTAAATTTGAAAGCGCGAGCTCTGCTACGATCAAGCTTCGGCTGTCCTCCTTTGGAGGAAGGGGAATCCCTGATGGCTGGGCCTTCCCGGTGCGATTCAGCCCCGCTGGAAAGGGCTCCGGTGGAGGCACCCGCCTCACCGCCCTCCTCCGCAGGGCCCGATCTCACCGCCGCGGCCCGGGGGGCGTGCGCCGGCCTGCCGCCGGGGGGGTTCCGCGGCGGCCTGTGCTCACAGCTTGC